CACTTGGTACAAGCCATTCTAAGTGGCCTGTGCTGCCACCTTGGGCCATTGTGTCATCTGGGCCCAGGCTGCTGCCAGAGGCTATGTCTGATTCCACGGCCTTACCTCAGATGTGTTGATGTTGTTGACCTAGACTCTTTTACAACCAAAATCAGATGATGGGGCTGTAGACTGTTGACCCTGCCCAGCACCAAATGTATCACTCTGGAGAGGGGGCCCCTATTCCTCCCCCAGTGCAGCACAGTAGAACTGTCCCTGTTGTCATGTGTGCAGGTGAGCACACATGCAAGTGGGAGAGACCTAGCCCCACAGTCTCTCATGGAGTGGCATGAGCAAAAGTGATACCATGTTTGCTTCTTGCCTCTCACCCCTTACAACATACTGCAGACCAGAAAATCTTGTCTCAGTATCACAAGGGTGGGAGACCTGAACCTGTCCTTCACCAGTTCCAAATCTAAGGACTGGGCCCTACATCTAGCCCAGGCAGCATAGTAGAGATGAACCCGATGTACCTGAGAGATTTGTCCCCACCTTTCATCTGCCATTGGTGGAGGGAGAGATGGCATTCCCCCTCCCCTGTTCTTTACTGCCTGTAACAGGAGGGAGAGCTGGCCCTGAGGTTACAAGAGTAGGAGAATTGGCCCTGTCCCTTATCAGCTATACCACATAAGAGACTGAGCATCGCATCTTGCCTGTGCAGTGCACTAGAGCTAACCCTGTTGGTGCTTCTCAGGAAAGCCCTGCCTGTAGGTGTGAGAGCAGGAGGGCTGCCCCCACAACCTCCCAGGTGTGCCAAGGGATGGCAAGGGTAAAAGAAACATGCTTTCTCCTTGACCCCTTGCCACCAGTGACAGGCAGGAGAATTAACCTCAGGACATAAGAATGTTAGACTGAGTCCTAACCCTCCTGACCAAGTGCAGTGTCTGGAGAGCATGACAGTCACATGGAAAAACAGTAGGACTGGCCTTGGTAGTGTGGCTGTGGGTGAGCTGGACACAAGGGTCTGAGAGCAAGAGAATTGGCCTTGCCTCTTGTTGTCTGCACCTTTGGGTGAGCTAGCCAAAGCAGTGCTGGAGAGCTTGCCTGGGTGGTAATGATGAGAGAAACCTGGCAGGCTTATGAACCCAGTCTTCCACTACATTATGAAACACAAAGAAACGACCAGGAGGTGTGGTCCACACAGCTACATGCTCTAAGGATTACTCAAGCATAGAGCTATAATAAATTGATGTGTTTTCTGTGTTAGATACCCAGGTTCTGGTATTCAGCTATAGCAATAAAAATAGACTAAAGGAGAGTAGATGAGACAGGTAAATGTCAAGGAGAAGAGAAACATGAGGACTCCCAGAGTATGTGTGAGACTGGCCAGTATTAAGCTCCATGTATATTTTCTATACCCACACTTTGAAGAAAGAAACATCTGAAAGAGATGGTACAAAAAACCTCATGGACCTTGGGAAAGATTTTGAGTTCCCAGATGAGAGTGCAGCCTTAACCACACCTTGGCTAGAGACTATGAGAACCTGAGGAGAGGACCCAGACACAACCCCTGCTCATATCATAGGTGTTGTGATTGTCACTACATTTATATTAACTTATGGAGCTATAGAAAATTAATATAAAACAGGTTCACTATCCTAAGATAGAACTATAAACTTAAAAAAACGCAGAGGTGTACATCTGAGAAAAGATTCTAATACTTACTGTTCTGAGGTTTCCCTCTCCACATGGGAAGGATGGAGAAGCCCAAAGGAAGCTCATGTAGAAGTGGAGAGATTGTCTAGGAAGTAAACCTTACAAGATCATGGCTGTGTACCCTTGGGGCTCTAATAAGAAGAAAAATAACTTTAGGAAAAGCATTAATGCCCTTAAAGAAAAAATGTAAATCTCCCTCAAAGAAACAGAGAAAAAGACAAACAAGAAATTGGAAGAAATCAACAAATCTCTTAAAGAAAACCAAGAAAAAGCAACTACACAGGTAAAAGAAATGATTCAAGGCTTGAAAACTGAAATAGAAACAATAAAGACAACAGAAGCTGAGGAAATTCTGGAAACAGAAAATATGGGTAAGCAATCAGGAACCACAAAGGCAAGATAGCATAAACAACAGAAAACAAGAGATGGAAGATTGAATCTCAGGTATTGAAGATACGATAGAGGAAATAGATTTTCTGATCAAAGAAAATGTTAAATCCAACAAAAGCTTAACACGAAATATGGGACACCATTAAGAGACCAAACCTAAGAATAATAGGGATAAAAGAAAGAGACATAGTTCAACGCAACAGAACAGAAAATATACTCAGCAAAATCATAGAAGAAAATGTTCCCAACCTAAAGAAGGAAAGGGGCATGAAAATACAAGAAGCTTACAGAACTCCATATAGACTGGACCACAAAAATAGTCCCCTCACCACATAATAACCTATTGGCAGAGGGTACTTGTTCATTTCCCAGCTGTCCACACTCCCAAAAAAGACCACACAAAAATCTGTATTAATTGTAATACTGTTTGGCCAATAGCTTCAGCATAATTTTAACTAACTCTTATATCATAAATTAACCCATTTCTATTCATCTGCATATCACCACGTGGTTATGACTTATTGGTAAGGTTTCAGTGTGTCTGTCTCCTATGGGCAGCTACATGGCTTCTTGCTCCCTCTGCTTACTCTCTCCTATATATGCTTGGAACACACACTTTGCTCTATTCTGCTAAGCCACTAGCCAAAACAGCTTTATTCGTTAACCAATAAAAGGAAATCATAGACAGAAGGACTTCCCACACCAATAATCAAGCCACTAAACAAACAGAATAAAGAAAGAATATTAAGAGCTGCAAAGGAAAATGGCCAAGCAACACATAAAGACATACTGAATACAATTACACTTGACTTGCCCATGGAAACAATGAAAGTCAGAGGGTCCTGGTGAAGCATTATTCAGACATTAAGAGATCATGGATGCCAGCCCAGACTACTATACATAGCAAAATTTCAATCATCATAGATGGAGGAAACAAGATATTCATAAAAAGAGTTTGACAATATTCCTTCTGCTTTTATTATGTGGAACATTTTGAGGAAGGCGTATAGGTATTAGCTCTTCTTTGAATTTCTCAAACCATCTGAACCAGGGCTTTTCTGACTGGGAGGCTTTTGATGACTGCTTATATTTCCTCGCAGGTTATAAGCATATTTAAATTATTCACCTGGTCTAGATTTAATTTTGGTGTGTGGTACCTATCCAGAAATTGTCCATTTCTTTTATATTTTCCAATTTGGGGGAGTATAGGTTTTAGTAGCATGACATAACAATTCTCTGGGTTTCCTTGGTGTCTATTGTTATAGCCCCTTTTCATTTCTGATTTTATGAATTGGATGTTCTCTCTCTGTCTTTTGACTGAATTGGATAACAGTTTGTCTATCTTGTTGATTTTCACAAAGAACTATCTCTTTGTTTTGTGGAGTCTTTGTATTGTTTTCTTTGTTTCTTTTTTATTGATTTCAATCCTCAATTTGACTATTTCCTATTATCTAGTCCTTCTGGGTGAGTCTGCTTCTTTTTGTTATAGAGCTTCAGGTGTGATGTTAAGTCACTAGTATGAGATCTCTGCACTTCCTTCATGTAGCCAAACTCTTTTTTGAGGCTACAGTTACCCTAATCCCAAAACCGCAGAAAGACTCAACCAAGAAAGGGAATTACAGACGAATCTCAATCACAAACACAGATGCAAAAAATGTTCAATCATATACTGGCAAATCGAATCCAAGAACACATCAAAAAAGTCATCCATGATGACCAAGTCGGCTTCATTCCAGAGATGCAGGGCTGGTTCAACATATGAAAACCATCAATGTAATCTACCATGTAAATGAACTGAAAGAAAAAAACCTTATGATCACCTCATTAGATGCTAAAAAAGCATTCAACAAAATCCAACAGCCCTTCATGATAAAGGTCTTGGAGAGATCAAAAATACAAGGAACATATCTAAATATAATAAAAGCAATATAGAGCAAGCCCACAGCCAACATCAAATTAAATGGAGAGTAACAAACTCAAAGCAATTCCACTAAAATTGGGAACAAGACAAGGCTGTCCACTGTTTCCATATCTCTTCAATATAGTTCCTGAAGTTTTAACAATGGCAATAAGACATCAAAAGGAGAACAAGGGGATTCAGATTGGAAAGAAAGTAGTAAAACTTTCTCTATTTGCAGATGATATGATAGTGTACAAAAGTTACCCCAAAAATTATACTGGAGAACTCCTACAGCTGATAAATGACTTCAAGAATGTGGCAGAATACAAGGCCAACTCAAAAAGTCAATAGATCTCCTAGATACAAATGGTAAAGAAGCTGAGAAAGAAATAATAGAAACATCATCCATCACAATAGCCATGAAAATACAAAAAAAAATATCTTGGGGGTAACACTAATCAAAGAAGTAACAGATTGTTTAAAAAAATATTAAGTCTTTGAAGAAGGAAATTAAAGAAGATATCAGAAAATGGAAAGATCTCCCATTCTCTTGGATAGGTCAGATCAACAAAATTAAAATGGTAATCCTACAAAAATCAGTCTATAGATTCAATACAATCCCCATCAAAATCCCAACTCAATTTTTCACAGACCTTGAAAGAAAGATAATCAATTTCATATGGAAAAACAAAAAACCTGGGATACTCAAAACAATTCTGTACAACAAAAAAAGTTCCAGAGATAACACAACTCCTAACATCACACCTCAGAAAATTTAGAGGATAAAGATTCAATAGAATAGTCTTCAAGGCTCCTTTAAGACACGCATGCCATGCTCTAGTAAATTTTCTGCTGACACCAACTCCCAGTGGGTGAAACAGGAGTAGGTGCCCCTTTGAGCACCAGCACACTCTTCTGGGCTGATTTACATATTGAGTCTTTATACAACAGCCCAAGCTCCTTTAAGGACAGCTGCCAAGAGCCTAAGAATCATTCTCTTTTCAAACATTCAGAGATGGAGTCAAAGGCATTCCTGCTATGGATGCTGCTGCTTGAGGTTCCAGGTAGGAGGGTGAATTGCAGTGTTGGGAGCTTCCTCTGTGGCCATTATGGTTTTCCATGCCTCTGGAATCTTGATCATTATATTTAAGGCATTTGAAATTGGTTTTAAGTTCCCAATCCCCTTTGACTTTTTAGTTTCTCAAAGTGATGCCCACAACTATTGTTAAAATTTCTAAATGAAAAATTCTCTGCTGGGAATATTTATAAACATGTATAACCATGATTTGTGTGTTTCTGATTCTAGGTTCCTCTGGGGAGATTGTGCCAACCCAGTCTCCATCTTGGCTGTCTGTGTCTCTGGGACAAAAGGTCAGCATCTCTTGCAAGACCAGTGAGAGTGTCAATGCCTATGATGAAAATCTTCTGCACTGGTATCAACAGAAACCAGGACAGTCTCCCAAACTCCTCATCTATGTTGCATCCAACCTAGAATCTGGGGTCCCAGCCAGGTTCAGCGGCAGTGGGTCTGAGACAGACTTCACCCTCACCATCAATCCTGTGGAGGCTGATGATGCTGCAATCTATTTCTGTCAGCAGAGTAAGGAGAATCCTCCCACAGTGCTCCATGGTTGAACAAAAACCTCCTGGGGTTGCTGCTCACTGAGGCTCAGTCTCTCAGCTGTCTCTTACTCTCTGACATCTCAATACACAACTCTAAACTTGTTTGGGGAAAGATCTTAAATAATAAAACAAATTTTTATAAAAGGATTTGCTTGTCAAAGTGCCTTACTCTCTCTTAGGATTAGATATGGGTGGGGTGGGAGGGTGTGTGGAGGGAATGGGAGGAGGGGAGGGAGTGGTAATTTGTATTGTTTTTTTTACATCTAATAAATTAAAAAATAAATACTAGACAATAATAGAAAAGAGAAAAAATTATTTGCATGTTTATCCCATCCAATATACCTTGCAATTCAATGATTCCTCAACAAAATGTAGACGTTTATAATTGTTTCTTAATTAATAATTATTCATTAAATTTTTATTATCACATGTTTGTCTTTGGATGATTTTCCCTTTTTCTCCCCTGTCGCCCTGATAGCATATTTCCCTATTCCATCCCACCCTCAGTGTTCCTTTTTAGACTTTCCTATCACTTAAGATTTACTGTTTTTTAAAAAGTGTGTTTTTAAGAGATAATAAATACAAATTGTTTCAACTTGAAAAATGTTAACCAAAGTCATTTGGGGTGTGTATGTGCGTGTGTGCGTGTGTGTGTGTGTGTGTGTGTGTGCGTATGTGTGTGTGTCTGTGTCTGTATGTGTGTGTGTGTGTTTGAGAGAGAGAGAGAGAGAGAAGAGAGAGAGAGAGAGAAAGGGAAGGGAAGATGGAGAGGGAGAGAGGGAGTAGGTCAGAAGATAATGTGCAGGAGTTAGTTCTTTGTTTCCACCATGTGGGATCTGGGAACCAAACACAGACTCATCTGTCTTTGTTGTAATCAACTGTGCTGTTACAAGTGCAGCAATCTTACCAATATGACCTCCTATTTATTGTTTTCAATAATTTATTTTGTTTAAATTTGGAGTGAGAGTGTAAGTGTGAGTGAGTGTCCATAGCAGTCAAATGAGGGCATCATAATCCAGTGAGCTGGAGTTTCAGGGGGTTTTGTGCTAGTTGATGTGTGTGTTGGAAACCAAAATGAAAAAGAATGAAGTTCTTTTAACTGCTAGTTCTCATCCATCTTTGCTCTACCATTTAATAAGGAACTTTTTAAGAATTAGTAACTCTTGGAAACACAGCCTGCTCTACTGCTGAGGGGAACAGAGAGGTGAGTCAGCTGTACCAGAAGCACCACTCTGCCCCTAAGCCCACCCTTTTACCTACGAGGTCCTTGGAACCCTACAACACAGCCTGCTCCATTGCTGAGGGTACCAGAGAGCCAGCAAGGAGTGTTCTTGGGCTGTGCTTTCTTTCCCACAATGCACCCTGCCCCCAAGTTCACCCTTTGGCCTGTAAGGTCCTGGGAACCCTGAACACAGCCTGCTCAAGTGCTAAGGGAACCAGAGAGGAGTGTCAGTGGCGACAGAAGCACCACTCTGCCCCGAAGCATGCCCTTTTGCCTGCAGGTTCCTTGGAACCCTGCAACACAGCCTTCTCCACTGCTGAGGGGACCAGCAAGGTGAGTCGCTGGCGCCAGAAGTGCCACTCTCTGGGACCTTTCCAGTGAGACAGAATCCAGGGTCACCTCCCAAACTCTCTAAGCTTTTCTAGCCAGCCAGTGGGGAGTATTCCTGCTTCTGGGCTTTCTTTCCCACAACCCATCCTGCCCCCAAGCAGGATGACCTTTTGCCTTAGAGGTCCTTGGAACTCTGCAACACAGCCTGCTCCAGTGCTTAAGGGACCAGAGAAAACCAGGCTACAGAGCTTGCTCAAATACTTAGGCTACCTAAGAGAGGGCAGACTAAGAAAAACTCCCAAGTACTCAGACAGCCAGAGCAAAAGATTGGACCAAGACACCAAGACTCTGCTGGACTCATCTGAAGGAGGACATGGATAGGCGCCAATGTAAGATATCCTCCAACATCCTGAAAAACAACATGGTAACACCAGAATCCAGCAAACACACAGAAAGAAGACTTGATCATCGTAAACCTGAAGAAGCAGAAGAAAACGACTTTAAACGTAATTTTATGAAAATGATGGAGACCTTAAAAGAGGAAGTGAAAACTTCCTTAAAGAAATGGAATAGAAGACAAACAAAAAGTTAGAACAAATTAATAAACAAAGATATCCCACAAAGATACCCAAGGAAACCAAGAAAAAGCAATCAAACAGTTGAAGGAAACAGTTCAAGAAGACCAAAATGGAGGTAATAAAGAAAACACAAAATGAGGGAAAGCTGGATATGGAAAATCTAGGTAAACGAAGAGGAACTACAGAGATAAGAATAACCATCAGAATACAAGAGATAGAAGAAAGAATCTCAGGTGCAGAAGGCTACACATTAGTAGTAGGAGACTTCAGCATTCCTCTCTAACCAACAGACAGATCAACCAGACAGAAACGTAACAGAGATATAAGAGAGTTAACAGATGTAATGAATCAACTGGTCTTAACAGACATCTGTATAACATTCCACCCAAACAGGAGAGAATATACCTTCTTCTCAGCACCTCATGGAACCTTCTATAAAATTGATCACATACTCAGTAACAAAGCAAACCTCCACAAATACATTTAAAAAAAAATGGAGTAACCACCTGTGTCTTATCAGATCGCCATGGATTAAGGTTAGAATTTAACAACAATACTACCCTCAAAAAGCCCACAAATTCATAGAATCTGAACAGTTAACTACTGAACCACCCCTACGTCAAGGAAGAAATAGAAAGAAATCGAAGTCTTCCGTGAATTCAATGAAAATGGAGGCACAACATATTCAAACCTATGGGACAGTATGATGCAGTGCTAAGAGGAAACTTTATAGCACTAAGTGCTCACATAAAGAAAATGGAGAAAGCTCACATTAGAGACTTAACAGCATATGAGAAAGCTCTAGAAAAAAAGAAAGCAAACTCACTCAGGAGGAGTAGAAGACTGGAAATAATCAAATTGAGGGCTGAAATCAACAAAATAGAAACAAAGAAAACAATACAAAAAAAATCATTGAAACAAAATGCTGGTTCTTTGAGAAAATCAACAAGATTGTCAAACCCTTATCAAAACTAATGAAAAGACAGAGAAAGAATATCCAAATTAACAAGATCAGAAGTGACAAGGGGTACATAACAACAGATACTGAGGAAATTCAGAGAATCAATATATCTTACTTCAAAAGCCTGTACCCCACAAAATTGGAAAATGTAAAATAAACAGACAATTTTTTAGACTGATACCATATACCAAAATTAAATTAATACCAGGTGAACAATTTAAATAGACCAACAAGGTGCAAGAAAATAGAAGCTGTCATCAAAAAACTCCAAACCAAAAAAAGACCAGGGCTGTATGCTTTTACTGGAGAATACTACCATAAATTCCAAGAAGAGCTAATATACAAACTCCTCAATGTGTTCCACATAACAGAAACATAAGGGTCATTGCCAAACTCTTTTAATGAGGCTACAGTTAGCCTGATACCAAAACTGCACAAAGCCTCAATCAAGAAAGAGAATTACAGACCATTCTCACTCATGAACATTGTTGCAAAGAATTCTCAGTAAAATACTGGCAAATCAAATCCAAGATCATATCAAAAAATCATCCATTATGATCAAGTTGGCTTCATCCCAGAGATGCAGGGCTGGTTCAACATATGAAAATCAATCAATGTAATCCATCATATAAATAAGCTGAAATAAATAAATCATATGATCATTTCATTAGATGTTGAAAATCATTTGACAAAATTCAACATCCCTTTATCATAATGGTATTGGAGATATTAGGGATACATGGATCATATCTAAATATAATAAAAGCAATATCAGCAAGCCAACAGCTAAAATCAAATTAAATGGAGAGAAACTCAAAACAATTCCACTAAAATCGGGAACAGGACAAGGCTGTCCACTCTCTCCATATCTCTTCAAAATAGTGCTTGAAGTTCTTGCAATAGCAATAAGACAACATAAGGAGTCAAGGGGTTTAAATTGGAAAGTAGGGAGTCAAACTTTCGTTATTTGCAGATGATATGATAGAGTACAAAACCTCTACCAGAGAACAACTACAGCTGATAAATACCTTCAGTGATATGGCAGGATACAATATCAGCTCACAAAAATCAGTAGCCCTTCTATACACAAAGGCTAAAGAAGATGAGAGGGAAATCAGAGAAACATCACCTTTCACAATAGCCACAAATAGCATAAAGTATCTTGTAATAACACTGATCAACGAAGTGAAAGACCTATTTGACAAGAACTTTAGTCTTTGAAGAAAGAAATTGAAGAAGTTACTTGAAATTGGAAATATCTCCCATGCTCTTAGATAGGAAGGATCAACATAGTAAAAATGGCAATCCTAGAAAAAGCAATCTATAGATTCAATGCAATTCCCATCAGAATCCAAATGCAATTCTTCATAGAGGTTGAAAGAATAATAATCAACTTCATATGGAAAAACAAAAAACACAGGATAGCCAAAACAATCATGTACAGTAAAGGAACTTACAGAGGCATTACCATCTCTGACATCAAGTTCTATTACAGAGCTACAATAATGAAAACTGCTTGTTATTGGCATAAAAACAAAGATGTTGACAAATGGAATTGGATTTTAGATCCGGAAATGAATCCACACACCTATGAACACCTGATTTTTGACAAAGAAGCTAAAAATATACAATGGAAGAAAGAAAGCATCTTCAACAAATGGTGCAGGCATAACTGAATATCAATCTGTAGAAGAATGAAAATAGATGCATATCTATCACCATGCATGAAATTCGCGTACAAATGGATTAAAGACCTCAATATAAATCTGACTACACTGAACCTGATAGAAGAGAAAGTGGGAAGTAGCCTTCAATGCCTGAGCACAGGAGACCACTTCCAGAAGCACAGACAATAAGAGCAACAATGAATAAATGGGACCTGCTGAAACTGGGAAGCTTCTGTAAAGCAAAAGACACAGTC